GGGGGGGGGGGGGGGGAGTGTCCGGACTGGAAGTGGTTAAAAATATAAAAAAAAGTAACATTCCGGAAACCATTTCATTTCATTGTTACCCACGACTGGTAACCACTTGACTCTTCAAAAAGTTGAGCACCCCTGATCTATACAGTCAGTGTGGATGAGGGAATCCCTCCGGCAGCGCTATCGTGTTCTGCCAGCAGGAGGCGCAGGGAGCCTTTCTGGGCCGGCAGAACACGATGATTACCGTTGGGGTCCATGAGATCTGGGATGTTGAAAAAGTCAGAGGACAAAGCAGTTAACTGGAAAATTAATCCATGTAAAAGGTAATTTCCTGCACTGTTGATCTTCCCTGACAACTTCTATGCATTCTGTTCCCTGACAACTTTAATATAGTAATGCACCGACTACGCTGACAGTCCTCCTGCTGCCTCTCCTGTAGAGTCAGAGACGTTGCCAGGCGGCCCAGTCAGCCTGGTGCTATTGAGCCCCATGATGTGTAGTCACGCCCCTGCAGGGTGGCATTTTTTAGACTCTCTGAGGTCTCTCACCTACACAGAACGGTCAACGCCTCATCCCTCGGCACTCACTACAATCGTCAGCTCCATCTAGAGGCCATAATGCAGCATTTTCCTGGGTTGACCCATATGGAAGAAAAATATATTTGAAATGCTACAATTTTGGCCATATGCAATATATTTAAAATTATTTTTCAATAAATAAATATATACACTGTATGTTGAAATGCATTTTTATTACACATTAAAACCCAATAGGGTCACTGCAATCTCAACAAATGTAAGTTACTATTCGCAGCATTTCCAGCTCCAGAACTCCTAACTAAACTGCTAATGTTGAAGATAAAAGTCCTATATTTATACCCCCAAAGGGACTAGTAGTTCTCAGAGGAGCACAAGTACAGTGGCCTCACCACACTTGTAGACCATTGATACTTCTTCCTTTCCCTCTGTCTTCTTTCCTTCCTTCCTTCCTATTCTCTTCCCCTCTTTCGTCCTTTCCACCTTTCTTCCTTCCTTTTTTCCTCTCTTCATTTCTTGCTCCCCCTCTTCTTTCCTTGTCCACCTTTCCTCCTTCCTTCCTGTTCCTTTGCTTTCCTTCCTTTCCCCCTGCTTTCCTCTTTCCTTCCTTCCTTCCTTCCTTCCTTCCTACCCCTCTTCCTTTTCTCTTTCCCACTTCCTTATTTCTTTGCTAAATTCCTCCCTTCTGTCTTTCTCTCTCCCAGTCTCTTTCCCTCCTTCCTCCCCTCCCTCTCCCCCTCTTCCTTCCTTCCTCCCTCTCCCCCTCTTCCTTTCCTACTTCCCTCCTTCCTTTCTTTTTCCCCTTCTGTTCCCTTTCCTTCCTTCCTATTCTCTTCCCCTCTTCTGTCCTTTCCCCCTTCCTTCCTTCCTTCCTTCCTTCCTTCCTTCCTTCCTTCCTTTCTCCTCCTCTTCCTTTTTTTGTCAACCTTTCCTCCTTCCTTCCCCTCTTCCATTTCTCTTTCCTGCTTCCTTATTTCTTTCCTAACTTCCTTCCTTCTGTCTTTCTCTCTCCCAGTCTCTTCCTTCCTTCCTTCTTCCTTCCTTTCTCCCCCCCCTTTTCCTCTTCCTTCCTTCCTATTCCCTTCCTTCCTTTCCCCACTTCCTTCCTTTTTTTCCTCTCTTCATTTCTTTCTCCCCCTCTTCCTTTTTCTTGTCCATTTTTCCTCCTTCCTTCCTTTCCCTCTTTCCTTCTTTCCTTCCTTCTTTCCTTCCTTCCCCTCTTCCTTTTCTCTTTCCCGCTTCCTTATTTCTTTACTAACTTCCTTTCTTCTGTCTTCCTCCCTCTCCCCCTCTTCCTTCTTCCTTCCTTGCTTGCTTACTTCCCTTCTTCCTTCCTTTTTCCCCTCCTTTTCTACTCTCTTCCTTCTTATTCCCTTCTCTTCTTCCTTCCTTTCATCCTTCCTTCCTTTTTTCCTCTCTTCATTTCTTTCTCCTCCTCTTCCTTTCCTTGTCCACCTTTCCTCCTTCCTACCTATTCCTCTGCCTTCCTTCCTTTCCCTCTTCTTTCCTTCTTTCTTCCTTCTTTCCCCTTTTCCTTTTCTCTTTCCTGCTTCCTTATTTCTTTGCTACCTTCCTTCCGTCTTCCTTCCTCCCCCCTTCCTTCCTATACTTTTCCCCCCCTTCCTTACCCTTCCTTACTTCCTCCTCTCCCCCCTTCCTTCCTTCCTCTCCCCCCTTCCTTCCTTCCTCTCCCCCTCTTCCTTCCATCCAGCCCTCTAACCAAAGGATCGTACCTTGGAATAGTCTACAGGATCCTGAGCAGGTTGTTTGAGAACAAAGTAAAAACCCATCAGTGAGTCGAGTGGCAGAGGGGCCCTTTGGGACGTGTGGTGGGTCTAGAGACGGGGCGGAGTCATTGTAGCTGATGAACATCAAGTAACTTAATTTAATTCTTTGGTGAAAATAAAAACAAAAATTAAATAAAGTAACTTGATGTTTGTCAAATATGATGACTCCAAGCAGAGCACACCACACATCCCAATGGGTGCCTGTGCTGAATCACCAACGGGATTTTACTTTTTCTAAAACAAGTTATCCTCCTGATAGCTCCTTCGAGGACCGAGCACTGGGACCCCTGAGGCATCAAGAGCAACCAACTCTATCCAGCATGGGGACAGGAATATTCTCCACTTGTGGTTACTGCAACCTCACTATGTGTTACTATGTTCAGCATTCCTGTCTAAACTACTATTTTTGAAATTAATAGTCACATATATAATACTTATATAGAACTGTCAATTTATGCAGCACTTTACAATATATATTGTACATTCACATCAGTCCCCGCCCCCGAGGAGCATACAATCTAAGGTCCCTAATTCACATCCATACATACTAGGGACAATTTAGACAGGAGCCAATTAACCTCTCAGCATGTCTTTGGAGTGTTGAAGGAAATCGGAGTACCCGGAGGAAACCCACACAGGCACAGGGAGAACATGCCAACTCCAGGCAGGTGGTGCTGTGGTTGGGATTCAAACCAACAATCCTAGTTCTGCCAGGTGGAAGTGCTAACCATTAGGCCACTGTGCTATATTACACTCTAAGAGCTCTCCCGCTTCTTCTCTTATTTTTCCGGTGGTCACCCTGGGTTGTTCCTTGGATCCTTTATCCCTGCTTCCTCACTTATACCCCATTGACCCTGGTGTACCACCACCACACAGATACTAGGAGCCTGAGCATGGCAGCTGCATGCACTAAAAATGGCAGGGTTGCAATTCTTTGTAGTTTCCAAAGAAAATAATAAATGCAATTCCTTCCCTCCTTCCTTTCTTTTTTTCCCCTCCCTTTCCCTTTTCCCTTTCCTTCCTTCCTTCCTAGTCTCTTCCCCTCTTCTGTCCTTTCTCCCTTCCTTCCTTCCTTCCTTCTTTCCTCTTCATTTCTTTCTCCCCCTCTTTCTTTCCTTGTCCACTTTTCATCCTTCCTTCCTTTTCCTCTTCCTTCCTTCCTTCCTTCCTTCCTTCCTTCCTTCCTTCCTTCCTTCCTCTTCCCTCCTCCCTCCCTTCCCTCCTTCCTTCTTCCTTTTCTCTTTCCCGCTTCCTTATTTCTTTCCTAACTTCCTTCCTTCTGTCTTCCTCTCTCCCAGTCTCTTCCTTCCTTTCTTCCTTCCTTCCTTCCTTTTCCTTCTCTCTTCCTTTTCTTTTTCCTTCTTCTTATTTCTTTCATTAAGTCTGCCTTCCTTCCTCTCCTCCTTCCTCTCTGCCAGTCCCTTCCTTCCTTCCTTCCTTCCTTCCTTCCTTCCTTCCTTCCTTCCTTCCTTCTTTCTTCCTTTCTCCCAGTCCCTTCCTTCCTTCCTTCCTTCCTTCCTTCTCTCTCCCTTCTCTTTCTCCCAGTCCCTTCCTTCCTTCCTTCCTTCCTTCTCTCTTCCTCTCTCCCAGTCCTTCCTTCCTTCCCCTTTTTTCCTTCCTTCCCACTTCCTTCTCTCTTCCTCTCTCCCCAGTCCCTTCCTTCCTTCCTTCCTTCCTTCCTTCTTTTCCTCTCTCCCAGTCTCTTCCTTCCTTCTTTCCCCTTTTCCTTTTCTCTTTCCCACTTCCTTATTTCTTTCCTAATTTCCTTCCTTCATTCTTCCTTTCTCTCCCAGTCTCTTCCTTCCTTCCTTTTTCCCCCTCCTTTTCCTCTTCCTTCCTTCCTTTTTTCCCTCTCTTCATTTCTTTCTCCCCCCCTTCCTTTCCTTGTCCACATTGTCATTTCAAGGTGGGTGCATTTATTAATTTTTGCTAAAGGTGGAATTATCCTTTAGGAAGGCATGGCGGGCAGACTGGGTCGTATTCTCACCACAAACACCCCATGTAGAGGTGAGCGCCAAAACCCTATTACCAGCCTTAACAAAAAAAAACAAATAATGAGAAGTAGACGGCGGAAGGGGGGGGGGGGCGACACCTGAGAGGCGACAGATAAGATTTTAGTGCGCTGTAAGTCTAGTAACTGCTGCCCGTCGCGGAGAAAAGGTCGCCTCTATTATTGTATTGTAACACGAGTAACTACTGAAACAGAGAGAACAGATTTAATGACTTGTCCTGGAAATTAAATGAAATCTGCCATTTATTCCCTGAAAGCTACAAGTGTCCTTAAAATGACCCAATTGTGAAGTGACAACAGTGCGGCCTGGAAAAAAAAACTTTGATTTGATATAAACTCCATGGATTTCAGCTCATATTGTTGGTATTACAGCTTCAGCCTCTTGTTACTGACATGGATAAATAATACAGATTATATTAAAAAAGATGAAACATGTCCTATCATAAACAGGAGCATTTATTAAAGGAGAAGTATGACCAAAGCTGTTGTGGCCCTACGTCCCCTGTGAGCACTAATTCTGCACTCCTCTGACCAGGTTCTGGGTCAAGCCCGCTGTTGGCTGATGCCACTGAGCCAGCCTAGGCTCTGCAGGGTTCCTGACAATAATGACGGGATCTGCCTAGATGCCTGGATCAAATACTTTCAACGCACTGCTGAAAGCCTGAACCAGTCACTCCCTCCCAGTAGGGGCAGCACAGCGGCTAAATGGTTAGCACCTCCGCCTGGCAGTACTAGAGTCATCGGTTCAAATCCGCACCACCTGCCTAGAGCAGGGGTGGACTGACAACTCATGGGGCCCCTGGGCAATAGGGGATTATGGGGCCCCTGTGTCCTCGCCCACAATCACACACCTAAAAAAGTATATGAAAGGTACCAGGGGCATCTCATGGGGCCCCCTACCGACCCCGGGCCCTCGGGCAGTGCCCGAGTTCCAAATGGTCAGTCCGCCCCTGGCCTGGAGTTTGCATGTTCTCCCTGTGCCTGCGTAGGTTTCCTCCCACACTCCAAAGACATGCTGGTAGGTTAATTGGATCCTGTCTAAATTGGCTCTAATATGGGTATGTATGAATGTGAGTTAGGGACCTTAGATTGTACGCCCCTTGAGGGTTAGGGACCTTAGATTGTACGCCCCTTGAGGGTTAGGGACCTTAGATTGTACGCCCCTTGAGGGTTAGGGACCTTAGATTGTACGAATTGAGGGTTAGGGACCTTAGATTGTACGCCCCTTGAGGGTTAGGGACCTTAGATTGTACGCCCCTTGAGGGTTAGGGACCTTAGATTGTACGCCCCTTGAGGGTTAGGGACCTTAGATTGTACGCCCCTTGAGGGTTAGGGACCTTAGATTGTATGCCGCTTGAGGGTTAGGGACCTTAGATTTTACGCCCCTTGAGGGTTAGGGACCTTAGATTGTACGCCCCTTGAGGGTTAGGGGCCTTAGAATGTACGCTCCTCGTGGGTGGGGACTGATGTGACTGTACAATATATATGTAAAGCGCTGCGTAAACTGACGACGCTATACAAGTACCTGTAATAATAATCCACAGCCTGGCACTCCAGTGAGCACTGGAGGGGCACAGCAATGAGCCGAACACTGACAGCCACTGCTCTCTGCGCACTGAGAAATGAGCAATGAACAGTCTTTGATCACTCCGTTCTTGGTATAGGACCCAGAGAGGGAAAGCTGCAGCATCAGATTGCTGCTACAGCCACTCATGTTGGTGAGTATAAATTGGGGGGGGTTATAGATTCCAACACTTCTCTATTAAAAGACTGGGAATGAATGGAGTGATTTTAACACTACGAACGTGCAGCCTCTCCATTCCTCTCATTGAGCTGCAAGGGTGAAATTATTTTTTTTAAGGTGTATTAAAGGTATCATTATATAAACTAGACTGCAAACGTTCCTCATCCCTGATATATCGTATGAAAAACCACAAAAAAACGAATGAGACTTTACTGGTACAGAGAACGGACAACCTCATATTACTGTATAAAGCATGTTTACTGAAACATCTTTCCAAACATTTACAATAAAAATCAATATTTGGCTAATCAGCCCAATAAATCACAGCATTATGGATTGCTTCAAAAAAGTCCTGGATCCTTTCTTGGATACACAGAATATAACTGGATATAACATTTATAGGGAAAGTTGATCCAGGGAACATCCAATCGCCTCTCGATGGATCAGGAAGGATTTATTTTCCCCTGCAGGAGCAAATTGGATCATGGTTTTCTGTTTTTTTTTTACCTTCCTCTGGATCAACTGTGGGTGTAGGATTTATAAAATCTGTTGCAGCTCCGACACAGAAACCAATCAGCTTCCAGGTTGTATTGCCAAAGCTTAGATGAACAAGCTGAAGTTAGAAGCTGATTGACTACCATGCACAACTGCACCAGATTCTGAGTGCTCCAGTTTTAGTAAATCAACCCCTTGGCCTACAGTCAGCATTCCAATTAACTCCAAAGATGCTCAGTAGGGTTGAAGTCAGGTAGTGATGTTGTATGGAAGACACAGCTCTGATCGGCATTCCAATTCATCCCAAAGGTGTTCAATAGGGTTGAAGTCAGGTACTGATGTTGTATGGAAGATCCATTGCATGATCGGCATTCCAATTCATCCCTAAGGTGTTCAGTAGGGTTGAGCTCTGATACTGATCTTGTATGGAAGACCCATCTCATAATTGGCATTCCATGTCACCCCAAAGGTATTCAGTAGAGTTGAGGTCAGGTACTGATGTTGTATGGAAGGCCCATCTCCTGATCGGCATTCCATGTCACCCAAAGGTATTCAGTAGGATTGAGGTCAAGTACTGATGTTGTTTGGAAGACCCAGCTCCTGATTCAGCATTCCATGTCACCCCAAAGGTATTCAGTAGGGTTGAAGTCAGGTACTGATGTTGTATGGAAGACCCATCTCATGATTGGCATTCCAATTCATCCCTAAGGTGTTCAGTAGGCTTGAGGTCAGGTACTTATGTTGTATGGAAGACCCATCTCATAATCGGCATTCCATGCCACCCCAAAGGTGTTCAGTAGGGTTGAAGTCAGTTACTGATGTTGTATGGAAGACCCATCTCGTGATCGGCATTCTATGTTACCCCAAAGGTATCCAGTAGGGTTGAAGTCAGTTTACTGATGTTGTATGGAAGACCCATCTTCTGATCGGCATTCTATGTTACCCCAAAGGTATCCAGTAGGGTTGAAGTCAGTTACTGATGTTGTATGGAAGACCCATCTTCTGATCAGCATTCTATGTTACCCCAAAGGTATCAGTAGGGTTGAAGTCAGGTACTGATGTTGTATTGAAGACCCATCTTCATGATCGGCATTCCATGTCATCCCAAAGGTATTCAGTAGGGTTGAGGTCAGGTACTGATGTTGTATGGAAGACCCAGCTCCTGATCGGCATTCCATGTCACCCCAAAGGTATTTCATAGGTTTGAGGTCAGGTACTGATGTTGTATGGAAGACCAATCTCATGATCAGCATTCAATTCTTCCCTAAGGTGTTCAGTAGGGTTGAGCTCTGATACTGATGTTGTATGGAAGACCCATCTCATAATTGGCATTCCATGTCACCCCAAAGGTATTCAGTAGAGTTGAGGTCAGGTACTGATGTTGTATGGAAGACCCATCTCCTGATTGGCATTCCATGTCACCCCAAAAGTATTCAGTAGGGTTGAGGTCAGGTACTGATGTTGTATGGAAAACCCATCTCTTGATCGGCATTCCATGTCACCCAAAGGTGTTCAGTAGGGTTGAGGTCAGGTATTGATGTTGTTTGGAAGACCCAGCTCCTGATCGGCATTCCAATTCACCCCAAAGGTATTCAGTAGGGTTGAAGTCAGGTACTGATGTTGTATGGAAGACCCATCTCTTGATCTTGCACTCAGGTATCAAATTAACAGGAAGAAAAAAGCAGCTAGTACATTCAGTAGGCAAAAAATAGCATATATAGTATCAATTTAGTGCAGCGCTATTATAAACAAAAGGAAGTCATGTAAAATCAGGTAAAATAGCCCCACCAATAGTGGAGTAAAAAAGGTGAAACAAAAACACATTAAATAACAGACCTCATTGAGTCCACATGAGTCTACAGGTGTTGGTGTTTTGAGGAGACCCGTCTCGTGATCGGCATAACAATTCATCACAAAGGTGTTCAGTAGGGCTGAGGACAGGGCTCTGTGCAGGACAGCCAGGTTTCTCACACACCAAACTGGTCAAATTATGTCTCTATGAAGCTGGACCCACTCTTCTAAGAAGGCTTCCCTCAAAATTTTGGAGTTTATCTGTGGGAATGTGTGCCTATCCAGCCTAAAGAGCATTTGTAAGGTCAGGTACTGATGTTGGATGAGAAGACCCAACTCACAATGGTTGTTCCAGTTCATCCCAAAAGATGTTCAGTAGGGTTGAGGTCAGGCTCTGTGCAGGACACTCAAGTTCCTCCACACCAAACTGGTCAAATCATGTCTCTATGAAGCTGGATCCACTCTTCTGAGAAGGCTTGCCTCAACATTTTGGAGTTTGTCTGTGGGAATGTGTGCCCATCCAGCCTGAAGAGCATTTGCGAGGTCAAATACTTATGTTGGATGAGAAGACCCAGCTCACAATGGTTGTTCCAGTTCATCCCAAAAGGTGTTCAGTAGGGTTGAGGTTAGGGCTCTGTGTAGGACACTCAAGTTCCTCCACACCAAACTGGTCAAACCATGTCTTTATGGAGCTGGCTTTGTACACAGAGGCACAGTCATGGTGGAACAGAAAGGTTCTTCACCAAACTGTTCCCACAAGGTTGGAAGCACACATTTGTCTACACTGTTATTATATGGTGTAGTATTACCAACCAGGGGCGGACTGACAACTCATGGGGCCCCCTGGGCAATAGGGGATCATGTGGCCCCTGTGTCCTTGCCCAAACTCAAAAAAGCCTATGAAAAAAGGTACCAGGGGCATCTCATGGGGCCCCTACTGACCCCAGGGCCCTCGGACAGTGCCCGAGTTTCCAAATGGTCAGTCCGCCCCTGTTACCAACACCCTTCACTGGAAACACATGAACTCCAAGCTTCAAATGGATGTCCACATGCTTTTGCCCATACAGGTAGAAATGATGGCCCGGCCATGTTTGGCCATATACTGTAATACTTATACATTCTCCATTTTTATTGGACACCTATGAAGGTTTGATTAATCCCATTGCTGTTTAGTATAGAATGAGTAGGATGTGAGATAGAAGGGATGAGATGGAGGTTATAAAGAGAATGACGGAGACAAAGCAACGCCTCGAGCAATGCAGAATTTGGTGATATTTGAGAAGCCTTCAAGAGATATTGTCATCATGAGAGACACAGATATAAATACACATTCTAAAGAGTTTGCACTTGAATTTGCATCATACTTTGCCTTCCTCGGTACTGCTTACAACAAGGCGATGAATCTCTCGGGAGCGTTTCCTAATAAATGTGAAATGCAAATAACTGCCACCAAATGCTGCTCTACCCGATGTTTTGCTTTACTGGACAAATGAAGATGTAAGTTGTTTCTATGAGAGATGAAGGAAGGTTAGGAACTGACAAAACGGGAGACAGACAGGCCTGGGACAGACAGGATGGATAAAGGTGAAGGGAGTCAAGGAGCTGACAGAGATATGGCTTCCATCCTTCCTACCAATGACCATGACAGAGATATGGCTTCCATCCTTCCTACCAATGACCATGACAGAGATATGGCTTCCATCCTTCCTACCAATGACCATGACAGAGATATGGCTTCCATCCTTCCTACCAATGATCATGACAGAGATATGGCTTCTATCCTTCCTAATGACCATGACAGAGATATGGCTTCCATCCTTCCTACCAATGACCATGTCCCATCTTGATGATCCTGCACTGGTTACAGACCTTTAATCTGACTATGAAGCCTGGATGGACAGGAACGTGGGGAAGATGAGCATGTAGACCCCCCACCCTCCTGAACTATACCATGCTGTATGCCCTCAACATGAGGGGAACCCCCAGAAAAGCACCTTAACTCCATGTCGAGGACAAGGGCCTCTTCCATACAACCCTAGCCAGGTGCAGTGTGGGTCTGTGGGCAGAGGGCTTATCAGAATCTGGAAGCCCCTAGATGCTACCCCCCTAGTGAATGAGTATGGGGTACACCTTAGTACCCCTACTCATTCAGAAAAAAAAAGATTGAACCTAGAAATAAAAACACACCCAAATGTTTCACAAGTCCTTTACTAAACAGATCATTTCCAAAAAAAGTATCTTGAAATCCATCATAAAAAAAAATGGTACTGCTTTCTGAATGACAACCCCCCAAACTGTTACCAACTACGTATATAAGGGAAGGGGGGGGGGGGGGGGAGTGGCCATATTTGGGCAGTGATGTTGCTGATATCCCCTCCCCTTTCCTGAACAGCCAGACATAGGTTCTGATGGGGAACCTAATGTAAAGGGGGACTGTGATGGGCAACCTGATTTATGGGGGACTCTTTTTTTTAAAGGCATGACGAGGATGGAGACCCTGATTGCAGAGTGACCTCCTATAGCAGACTCTGATGTAAGGGAGCCCTGATGGGGACCCTGATGTAAAGGGGACTCTAATAAGGACCCTGATGTAAGGGAGATTCTGATTTAAGGTGGGACTCTGATAAGGACCCTGATGCAAAGGCGCACTCTGATAGGGACCCCGATGGAGATTTTTCCAGCCTGCAAATATTTGTAGAATATACAGTGTGGCCCCCTCTACTCCTGGAGACCCCTGATCTCAATCATCTCAGGTCATCAAACCCGTACCTTAATAACAGCATAGACTCAGCTCTGCATCCATCCATCCACACAGGAACTACAAGTCCCATCATCCCCCACCAATCACAGGCTGCCAGGACATGCCATGAGTTATAGGTCCTGTGCTGTTGAAAGGGGTTTCACCAAACACTGACTTAGAGTGCAAGCTCTGTGGGATAGGGACCCGCTGATCCACTTTGTAGGCTCTTCTATAATATTCTCTGAATCTATTTTTGTATTTGTAAGTCCAAGTCTGACTGAAGTGCTGGAATCCAGAATCCTTCTCAGCAATAAAACAAGAAAACTGCCTGATCTCTGTGTCCTGCGTTGTGTTCCTTATATAGATGCGTTGTTCTATTATACACATAGGGGGCGCTCTGTACAGCAGAAAATATGACATTCAGCAAACATTCTCTGCAGGAGAATCTTCCAGACCCGTGTGGTTTACATGCTGGTATTGCCCCTCCCCCCCTGCATTTCTATCAGATAACACACCACTTCCCCCAGAAAATTGTCGCAATGACAAATGTTTCGGCATTCTCATGTGTATTTCTTTGGTTTGTATTGGTAACACAAAAAAGTGGAGGAACAAAAAGCCAAATCTGACCCATTCCACACAAAACACCAAAAATAGACAAAATTAGTGGCACCTTCTCAAAATTGTAAGAAATAGTTGTATTCTAAGTGTGTGATGCTCCTGTAATTTGTCATTAAACCCCCCCCATATCCATGACCGGGCGCTGACAATATAGAAATCACACCGACAACAAGGCAAGATGGTAAAAATTCCTGTTGGGTGTCTCTGTGTGCCACATGGAGCATGGATGAGCGAAAGAGCAGCAAAGAATTGTCTGAGGATTGGAGAACAAAAATGGTGGAAAAGCATGGACAATCTCAGGGTGACAAGTCCATCTCCAGAGATCCTAATGTTCTTGTGTCCACTGTATGCAACATTGTCAAGACATTTACAGCCCATGGCACTGCAGCTAATCTCCCTGGACGTGGACAAAAGAGAAAATTTGATCAAAGATTGCAACGAAGGATTGTTGGAATGGTGGCTAAAGAACCTCCATCAACTTCCAGACAAATCCAAGCTGGCCTTCAGGCACCGGGTACAACTGTGTCCGCTCGCACTATACGTCACCATATGAATGAAGAGGGGCGCTATGGTAGGAGGACCCCACTGCTGACACAGAAATATGGTGGGAGACCCAGGAGGACCCCACTGCTGACACAGAAAATATGGTGGGAGACCCAGGAGGACCCCACTGCTGACACGAAAATATGGGAGGAGACCCAGGAGGACCCCACCGCTGACACAGAAATATGGTAGGAGACCCAGGAGGACCCCACTGCTGACACAGAAATATGGTAGGAGACCCAGGAGGACCCCGCTGCTGACACAGAAATGTGGGGGAGACTCAGGAGGACCCCACTGCTGACACAGAAATATAGTGGGAGACCCAGGAGGACTCCACTGCTGACACAGAAATATGGTGGGAACAGGGGCGGACTGACCATTCAAGCACTCGGGCACTGCCTGAGGGCCCGGAGTCAGAAGGGGGCCACATGAAATGCCCCTGGTACCTTTTATAGGCTTTTTTGGGTATGCTTTGAGTGTGGGCAAGGACACAGGGGTCCCATGATCCCCTACTGCCGGGGGGGCCCCATGAGTTGTCAGTCCGCTCCTGGGTGGGAGACCCAGGAGGACCCCACGGCTGACACAGAAATATGGTAGGAGACCCAGGAGGACCCCATTGCTGACACAGAAATATGGGAGGAGACCCAGGAGGACCCCACCGCTGACACAGAAATATGGTGGGAGACCCAGGAGGACCCCACCGCTGACACAGAAATATGGTGGGAGACCCAGGAGGACCCCACTGCTGACACAGAAATATAGTGGGAGACCCAGGAGGACCCCGCTGCTGACACAGAAATATGGTGGGAGACCCAGGAGGACCCCACTGCTGACACAGAAATATAGTGGGAGACCCAGGAGGACCCCACTGCTGACACAGAAATATGGTGTGAGACCCAGGAGGACCCCGCTGCTGACACAGAAATATGGTGGGAGACCCAGGAGGACCCCACTGCTGACTGACACAGAAATATGGTGGGAGACCCAGAAGGACCCCACTGCTGACACAGAAATATGGTGGGAGACCCAGGAGGACCCCACTGCTGACACAGAAATATGGTGGGAGACCCAGAAGGACCCCACTGCTGACACAGAAACATATTGGAAGCCAGGTTGGTGTTTGCCAAAACATATCTGAGGAAGCCAAATTCCTTCTGGGAGAATGTTCTGTGGACAGACGTAACAAAACGGCAGCTTTTTGGTAAAACCCATCATTGTACTGTTCTCAGAAAAAGCAATGAGACCTTTAAAAGAAAAAAAAAAACCCAGTCCCTCCAGTCACACATGGTGGGGGGGGTCACAGTCCCTCCAGTCACACATGGTGGGGGGTCACTGATGTTTTGGGGTTGCTTTGCTGCTTCAGACACTGGATGTCTTGGCCGTGTGCATGGCATTATGAAATATGAAGACTACCAAAGAATTCTGGGGCGCAATGTAAGGCCCGCTGTCAGAAAGTTGGGTCTCCGTCAGAAGTCATGGGTCTTCCAGCAGGACAATGACCCAAAGCTCACGTCAAAAAGCCCCCAGAAATGGTTTCAGACAAAGCACTGGAGAGGACTGAACTGGCCAGCAATGAGTCCAGATCTCCATCCCATAGAGCTCCTGTGGAGAGATCTCAGAACAGCAGTTGGGAAAAGGAACCTTCCAATGTGAGAGACCCGGAGCAGTTGGAGAAAGAAGAGCAATCCAAAATTCCAGTAGAGAGGTAGAAGAAACTCATTGATGGTGACAGGAAGCCATTGATTTCAGGTGTTCCTCCAAGGGGTGTCCTACCAAATATTACATGGAGGGTGCCAATAATTTTGTCCAGTCCATTTTTGGGGTTTTGTATGGAATGTGTCAGATTTGGCTTTTTGTTTCCCCACTTTTTTGCATCAAGCCAATACAAACCAAGCAAATTAACATGATAATGCCGAAACATTTGTCATTGCAACAATCCTCTGGGTGAAGTGGGGCAATATCTGTCAGAAATGGGGGTGTGGGGTGGGGGCAATATCCAACAGAAATGGGGGGGGGGGGGCAATATTCTTGGCCATGGCTTATCCTGGAATTCGGCTTTAGGTTGCTTTGATTCCTAATGTGATCTCCTATTCT